TGAAGAACTTGCGCAGGAAAGCCGGCCATGGTGTCTGGCAAAGTCATCGCTTTCTGGGGAAGTGCCATCGGAATGCTACTTATATTGTCGTACTTGGTCGGCTACAGCGTTGAGTTCCAAAGGTCTTCAGAGGTTGAGGGCTTGGGTATTCCAGATTCGTGCCGGGAATGTGATAAATCTTCGATGCCGAGTGTCAGACGGGAGAGCGGACTTACTGTCGTTGATTTTAATTGTTACGGACATCCGTACCCCTTCGCGTACTTTCACTTGATCTTGGATTGTTTGACTCGTGCCGTGAGGCTACTGCCGCCATTGCGAAGTCTGTCTAGGCAAAAGAGCGACGTCCTAGCTGTTGTTCCTTTGTATCTGCAGCGTTTCTTCACGGCGTGGCTGGAACCATTCTTGTCGCCGGCAAACGTGTCTCTTCTTTTCCTTGACCATCGAACACCGTGGCAGAACCAAACAGCGATCACTGCGTCTCATGTTCTTTCGTACGATGTAAGCACACCCCAATGTCCAAACTGCCTCAGAGAGTTGGCGCTTTTGGCGTCCAATGCATCAGCCAATGTCCGGCATTCTTGCCGGCATGTTGTCCTTATAGTGAGGAAGCCCAACCGGGGGCGGCACATTCTTGATGAAGACATACTACAAGATCAGTTGAAAACGTCGCTCAAGCGGTACAGAACGTCGTTTGTGGTCTTTAGGGGTAACGAAACGCTCGATGAAACTGTCCAGACTTTCGCATCGGCATGTGTAGTTATTGGCGTTCATGGAGCTGGATTAGTTCACGCACTGTTTTCATGGCCATGGGCACTCATCATCGAGGTTGTAACCTTCAAGGAATCGCGATTGCACGCTCCTAATTCTACGACCTTGTGGCGGACCAATGCTGGGAGCATTCGTGGCCTTCCCGAAACGATACTATGGCAATGGTATTACGTCGAACATGAACATCTGGAACCATACCCTACTCAGGCGGCGAACAGTTCGCAAATGACACTCAACATTAGGCCTGCTGGTGTTCGTCTCTCACGGGAGCACATTGCAAACATTGTTTCGCGCACAATTGTGAGGTTATCCTCGCTAGGTCGGCAAGGGTTATTCCAGCATTAGTTCATTCTTTCTCGCGGAAAACGCTCGTGCTCGAGCTGGTCGAGCTTCCTGTTGGGGAAAAACCAATTTCCAGTTCAGCTCGGAGTCCGCCCAAAGGTCTTGTCTTCGACAACGATTGCGGCACTGCGATGCCAGTCAAATCGACGGCTCTGCCCTCGTGATCAGGGTGTCCGTGCCCCAGGCAGACCTCCGAAGACATGTTGCCCAGCGCTGGAGCTCTCCGTGGCGGGCCATCTCATTCCGCTTCTTGGTGTCGACGGTGAGGCCGCCATAAACGCGCTCGCCGGTGCACGGGCGAACGATGAGCAGCTCGCCGGTCTTGACCATCGTGTTCTTGTCCGCCCAGACGCCCTTTTCTAGGACGAGTTTGAGATACGTGGCGGGCTGTCACCCCTTGCTCGCCGGCGCGTGGGCATACTTGGGGCCGATTCTGATCGCAATCTCCTTCTTGACAAAGGCGATGGACTCGATGCCGCCCGTTGTAGAGCTTCCAAAAGCCGATCTGATACAGAGCTTCCGGGATATGAGCTTCCTGCGCCTTGACGGAGACGTGTCCGACAACAGTATCCAACGTTGCCCTGCCACCTCCAACGTCACCACGTTCAGCGGAGCCGCCAGGAGGCGCTCCGTCGCCGGGGCCTAGATGAACGCCATAATCCGAGACGTGGGAACGCTGCGCTAGATTCGTTGTCTCGGCCGGCCTGAAATGGGAATTACGGCGAGCTTAATAGCGAGCCTTGCGGCACGCACGTAAAGATCTTACGCCTAGCATGCTCGGCGAGGGGCGAGGGACTGGAAAGGAGCTGTAACCGACCGAGGGTTCCGAGGGTTCCGAGGGTTTCCCTTCTGCTTGACTGGCGAACATCTGTAGTAAGCAAACCGTCAGCATGCGAGAACCAACAGCACGATTTGTACCTGGCCAGCTGGCGAATAGCCGATTGCGATTGGTACACCGGCTCCCGTCCCTTTTGGCGAAGCGTTCTGCGATCGGTCTGCAATGGTTGGCGAATTGAGAGCCGGCCTTAAGCAACAGTTGCCAACACCAAACCCACCGCCAGCGACGACACCAGCTGCGTCGTCAACATCGTCGTCGAGCGTCAGATCGGTCACGGTAACTGAGGAGTAACGTGCGATTCCAAGTCAGCTTTGCACGGCGGGAGTAATGCAGGTGAGAACCGTTCGTTTCCTAAGCTGGTCCGGCAGCTGCTGAGGGCTTTGTAGGCATGGATCAGCAATTGAATCAGGCGGAAAAGCACATGATCGGGCAACGAACCGCGTCGTCGTCCGAAATCCCGACAGATCAAACGAGCCTGGCGGGACCGAGTCTTCGCGTCAGCTAGATGCCGGGAAGTAGATCATCGGGTTATGCTCACCGAGGTGCTTGCCACGACCACCGCGCAGGCGGAGAACCTCGTGATCCATCGATTCCGAGTCGAGCGTACGATCCTGAGGGGTCTGCGAGCGCTGCGCTGCTAAGGAACGGGCAAATGATGGTTCGTGCTTAACACCCATTTCCTGATCGTGGAACCACCACGTTACGCTTGCCTTGGTCCACAATCCTGGTCTGGGCCACCGATTTGGTTGCAGAGACCGATGTAGGAGGCGCAGGCGGGCCGTGGCTGGTTCGTTCTGTGGCTGCTCGTGTGGAAGGTTGGCGATCATCGAAACTTCAGGTGCACCGTTCAAACGCACACGTACCTTGAGGCGTTGCGGGACCCGCGTACCAGCTTTCCTCTGATGGAGAAAGCGGCACGGGATGGGCGAAAAAGTTGATTCCATGGAAGCCCGAGGCGTGCCTCTCTACCTACCGTCGATAGCTCGGTAGACGCGCATGATGCGCAGGGCCTCCCTGTGCGCACACCTCCCCATCCTCCGCGTTTCCGTCTTAGCCCACTCCTCCTGCAGCCAACTCCGAATCAGTGTCAACGGCATTTGAACGGGCTAAACCCACCCCGTTTCTCTTCATTGCCCGAGCGCGCTCCTTCGATGTCGTCCTCTCGTCGATCACTCCAGCGGCCGCCCTCTTCACGTCAGCGTAGGCACCCTTCTCACATTATGAGCCGCGGCAAAAGATCAGAACCTCAAGCGGGTTAATGGAAGAGGGCAAGACCCACCAAGACGGCCCAATCATCCCTTTCCCGATCGCACTTGGGGCACGACCTGACCAGTTCGCGTAGGAAGTTGATCGTTTGCGCCGCATACGCGGCTTCCTTGGGAAGTCCCCGCGCGACGGCGACGTCGCGGGCGACCTCGAGCGCCTTGGCCCGGAGGGCGGCTTCCTGGGCATCCTTCGCCGCCTTGGTCTCGGCAGCGGGCCGCAGGACGTCCGGTCCGCCCGAATCCCGCTCTTCTACCATCGTTCTGGCGCGCAAGCAGCCTGCCACCGGCGGCGCAAGGGGCAGGGCAGTCCCGCGCGACATTGCACGTGCCTGCGGTCCCCTTCGCCTCCCCTGCCCGCGTCGAGGGCTGGAAAACGAGCTACGGTTCGCCAAACGCGTCCCCGCCGTTTTCTAGCGCGAGGTGACGGCGGAGCGCGGGCGGGCTCTGCGAGAGTCGGCCTCGCAGCTCGTCGCTCGATTGCCGCGCGATCGCACACACCCGACCGCAATCGCGCCCGCCTGCACCCGCAATCCGGCGGTGCTGGCCATCTGCGGGCCTGAACCACCGATCACGAGCCGGTGCAACGGCTGCCGGCCCCAGGATTGGGGCCGACTTGCGCGCTCGGGCGACCTTGGTGCGACGCGTCCTCGCGCCCCGCCAGGCCGGGCCACGCGCCGCTACGGGCCAGGCGAGACTTTCAAACGGCCACGCCATAGGACTTGACATCATTTGAAGCTGCTTTTTGGCCTGCGCTGGCGGTTCGGCTGCGCTGGCGGTTCGACCACCGTCACCCGGGCGCACACTCATCGCATGGCTGAACGGGGGCCGGCGAGTTGCTCAGACCTTCGAGCGAATCTCGCCGACAAGGTCGCTCCGTGTCCAGAAACGATTGATTATGATGCCGTTCATGCTCCTGGTTCATATCGACGACGCTGGCAGCGGTCGGTCGCGAGGACCGTGCTTGGCAACGTCGGAGCCCGACTCCGCGGTAGGGAGCCTGCCTAACCGCCGCTGTTGGGCCAATCGCGCCTCGGCCGGGTGACTAAGGTTAATCGAAATGGCATTAAGCTCTGCACCGGGCTCGGGGGCCGTTGGCCATCGAAAGATTGGACAATCCGAGTCGGCGACGGTCGCGGGAAGGAGGAGCATGGTTCGACGGGCTCCGACTCTCCGAAGCCGAAGCGGCGGATGAGGAGTGTCGATTGGGCGGTGTCGGAGATTTTGTGCGGGAGCGAATGAAACCAAGACCGCGACGGATGGGGATGGGAAGCAGTGGAGTCCTAGTAGGCACTTCCTGCACTTGGAGTCCCATGTTATCTGGCGGTCGCACTCGTCCAGCGCCTGCCAGCATCAATGGGCGTTCGAACACATGATTGATTGATCCATTGATTGCGTGAGGCTGGATTTGTTTGCTGCAGGAAATTCTCCTCGGAACCTGCTTCGGAATGGCGGCGTGCACCGTTGGCGGATGGCGGGCCACGAGACTAGGGGACCACACTGCTGCCCAGATACGCCGATCCAGTAAGATGCATCCAGCGCTCGAAAGCGGTCCAACCTGGAGCGACGGAGGCGTACGGATCGAACTGATCGAGCCTGCCGACCCATGATCCCGAGGGAGGCGGCCGAGAGTCGTCGCAGCTAGCCCGTTTTGGAGGCGTCAGGGATACAGCTGGAACGTACAGCCAGAGCACGGATGCGGACTCGCCCTGGCAAAAGGGCGTCCGCACGACTGGAACCGAGGCCGATCGAGACAAAAGGGCGTCCGCCTGCACGGCGATGCGGAAACTCGACCGAGGCAGGGATCGAACCTGCGACCCTCTGATCCGAAGTCAGATACTCTAGTCCTCTGAGCTACACGGCCAAAATATACGTTAAGGGGGATTTTGGCACCCGGATCCCTCAACCAGTGATTGATCACCCGTAGGCGCCCCACCCCGTCCGCCGGCATTCCACCGCCTTCTCTCCCCCAACACACACACGATGACCGCCGCGCCCAGCATCCCGCGCTGGACGGCGGCATTCGGCGGCCACAAGCACGCGCGCGAGGCGGACGATGCCGATGCGCCCGGCGGCAAACGCTTCCGCCGGGCCGAGCCCTTTGAGCTGCGGCCTTTGAAGCGCTCGCTGGACGAAGTCGCCGCCCCCGACAACGCTTCTGCCTCCCGCGCACCGCCATTGCACCGGACGAAAAGGGTTCGCGCGGACGCCGGAAACCCAGCGGCTCCGCGTCTCGCACACGCCGCCCCGCCGATCGCCGCTCCGAGTCCCACACCGCGGGCTCCGGCCCAGTTCCTCGACTCCGATTCCCAGTTCTTCGACTCGGACAACGATGCACCGAGCTACTGGACGGGACTCGACGATGACTGCGAGTCTGAAGAGTTTAGTACGGACGAGTTCGGCGCCGACGGGCTTCCCATGGACGGCAGCGCAGAACGGCTTCTGGGGGGCTCGCCGCCGCGTCCCTCGGCGCCACCACCTCCCCCGGATTCCATGCTGCCAATGACGCCGTCCCACGCTCTGATCCTTTACAGCCCGCCGACCTCGACGCCCTCTTATCAACCTGACCCCGCGACTGGCATGCCCGTGCTCCCCAACCGGGTTGTGCTCCCCGACGTTCCTCGCTCCCTTACATTTCTGCCCGATTTGCGGCAACGCCCGGCGAGCAACGAAGGCGCGCTCATCCTTTATCGTCCGATGGATACGTTCGCGACCGCTCTTCGGGAGGGGTTGGAGGAGAATCCTGCAAGGACTTGGCCCGGCGATGACGACGGGATGGATGTCGCGGAAACGTCGATGGACTTGGATTGAGAACGTGATGCGTTGGTGGCTTCGGAGATTGATTGAGGGTTGTATGCAGATCGCCCCCGCAATCGATCTTCGTCCGGACATGGAAGCTAGCTGTTCAGCTCTCTCTCTGCCGCAGTAGATACGATAACTGATCCTAAGAGAGTGGAAGTACATTCATGGAGAGGGTGATTGAATGGTCCGAGATCTTCCCTGCCCTCGGAAGGCGGGGAGCTCCCGCCGAGATCGTGCCCATCACGGTCTTCCCCACGCGCAACTCGCCCGGCAACCGAGATGAGCGCCGGAACGAAGCTCGTCGTACCGCCGTCATTTTCCGACGGCACGGATAGCGCACCGCGCTCCGAGACGCCCCGCGGCGGCACGCCGGACGGACGCCTGAACTGCTACGAACTTCAGCGCGGCGACGGCGACGCGCTGGCCGGCTGGCTCGAGAAGCTCGGCTCGTTGCTCGCGCGTTACAGGGCCGACCCGCGCTCTGTGCGAACCGCGGAAGGCGCGCTCGATGTCCCGCGGAAAAAACCGGACGACGGCACCCGACTTTCAGCTCTGCCGCGGGGCTACGCACTGTACACGCAGCTGTTCACTTCCGTCGGCAGGAATGGTAACCCGCAGTCGGTTCATCTCGACTCCGTCAGCGGCCTGCCCAACGTGCGGCGCGATCCCTACTTATTCGGACATCCCAATGGCCCCTCTGCTCGCTTTCGAAGCCCGGCAGAGTTTGCTCCGCATCTAATCTGGCTCGAGGACGTCTCGACCGGCAAGGCGGGCAGGGACAGCCGGTGTCCGTGTCGTCTCTGCTCCTCGTCACCGGGTACCAGCGGGTCGGTCGTTCCGAAGCTTACTGCCAAGGACAAGGCAGTTACTCCGTTAGTTTCAGTGGCGTCTTGCGAACTCAGAAATCGTGAAGCAAAGGCGGCGCGCCGCTCACCAAAACCTGCCCGGGGAGAACCTGATCCCGTCCGGGCCGGGGAGGTTGTCGACTCCGTTGCCGGTGCAGGTGACGCAGGCGGGCAGCCGGTGAAGCGCAAACGGGTTCCGTATTCGGCAACCATGGATGAAGATGAAGATGACCAGGACAATGTTCCACTAGCGAAACGCCTCGTTCGGACCGAGATCAAAGTACAGGACGTGGTCCCAACAGGTGACCGCGCGGAGGAGCCCGCACCGAACGCTGGAAAGACAAAAACGCACGGCAAGGCGCGAAAGCTTTGGGAAAAGATGGGCCTCGATTCTCCGAGCATGTTTTACCGCGGCGATTTCGTCCGGGTACCCGTACGCGTCGTGGATTGCACGGGACCGATATGGGAACCTTTGGACATTGATGCACTGGACGACGGTGCAGACGAGCACGTGTGGTGGCCTGCCATTCTGAAAAAGCACAACAAGGCCGATCTTTCGTGGGCCGTGGAGCTACAGGACGTTCGTCAGAGTACGCTCCCTGTCTATGCGGAACGGTGCATCCGTCCGGCGCTCTACGGTCCGGCTGACCCAATTGATGGAGCAGTTACCAGCTCTCTTTTTGGGCCTCCGGAAAACGATGCACGGCGCCGTTATCGGGATGCCCTAGCCGCGTTCGACGGCCAACAACCTTGGCGGCTCGTGAACCTTGCTGCGGTGAAGAAAGCCAAAGAGGCCGCCGGTGACGATGTTACCTCGTTCAGCTCCACGGTTATTGACCAAGATCTCGTGCTCCGATGGGGCCACGAATCGATTCGCAAGGGTTCAGCCATTCGGTTGCCCAATGGGGAGGTGCTTGTGGTCACCAGCATCAAGGCTAGAAGTACTGCTTCAGGGGCGCTGAGGAATGGAAAGCTCACGGGCCCGGTTTGGGCGAGAACTCCCTCTGCGTTTGGAAAGCAGCGTTGGCAAAAGATCCGGGACACGGAGCTCGGCATACCCTCTCGTGACTGCCTTGGGCGCTTCTACTGGAGGTTTTCCGGCAGGATGGATCGTTTTGCGTCTTATCTCCCTGCTTCTGGGTCGACAGAGACCGTCGATCTGACCGAAACCGGTGCGGGTGTGGGAGAAGGCAGTACACATGACATCACAGCGGTCGCCTCAATCCGGGTTAAGGAGGAGCCAGGGGAAGGTTGCGCGCAGGTAACTGCTGAGAAGGCGGTGGAGACGGTTCTGGACGGGATCGTTGAGGAGCATACTCCGCCGGAGACTGCAGAGCCGATGGCATCGCCTCCGGATCTGTCACTGCTGGACGCGGTCGCACAGCTTGACTCGCTCGGTGACACAGCGCCACTTCCCCTGCCGCACATCCGTCTGTCGCCTTTGGATGGCCGCATAAGCGTGACGGTCGAGCAAGGTCGCACCCCGGTCGTGCTCGACCTTACCGACGCGGCTGTTAGCGCGTCGATATACACATTCACCGACAGCATCGTGCGGACTTTGAACGATGCTGGCGTAGAAACGCCTCTGCTGACGGCACGGCTGCAGATGGGGTTGCAGGTACAGCCGGAGCATTTGAAGCTCCGGTTTGTGACTTTCGACGGCGTAGAAACGAGCCCAGAAGAACTGGAAGATGAGGGTGCGGCACTGCTCGACGAGATCTCTGCGACCGCATCGTTTGTTCGCGTCGCGGTTGAGTAGCACTGTTCGTCTTCCATGTTTTGAACCCCACGCACAAGGAGGCGATTACAACGATGTGCTAGCGCATTCCTGGCATAACCACAGTTCTCGGAACCCTGGGGACTCCATGCCACTCGGGATCTGAAGGATCTGGGAACAGTATTGCCTGCTCCACCACCCACTTCACCTCCTTTGTAACCCAGCTCAGGAGGCCTTGTCCAACTGTAGCTTCCCTTGCCGTTGGAGTGCACCCCTCCACAGGCCCGTCAACAAGGACGTCCCTGAACTCGCCCGCATAGCCCACTCCCAGTGCGGCTCTCACAACGAGCAAAAGAAAGTCCTCCCCACCGCCCTCAACGTCAATGGCATTTCGAGCTGGACCCCACTTGTCCGTCCAGTAAGCTCCCAGCACCTGCGGGGCCACGAATGCCGCTCGGGGTGCTGCTACAGGGAAAAACCCTTTCATGGGATGGGGAACCGGCGGTGCCAAGTATAATGTTGGGTGCCTTCCGGGACCCAATCTGAAAGCCGCAGCGCACGAGGAAAAGCCGATCCCAACTTTGGGCCACAAGAGGTGCGTGTAAAACGCCCAATCCATGTCTCTCGGTGCGATGCCAACTGAAGCATCGGCGAGAAACACGTGGAGACTGTTGCCCAAGGGCCTCAAGAGGTCCTGCGCACTGTTCACACGTTGAAAGTCGCAGGGAACAGCACCTTTTGCCGGGCAGACGGAAAGCGACGGTCCCTCGGTGATGCCAAATGCGCGCGCTACAATGTTCCGGACGCCTCCGATGCCCATCCAGTAACGCACGGAACCTGCAAGCTCGGTAAGATTTCCGTCCCGCGAAGAGATGAGCACATTGTATCCCGTGAGCGCGTCCCAATTGGGATGTGGCGGTCTCGATGACGGTCCTCCCGCGATGGGCGCCTCGTAAATGTCAAGTGATGGTATCATCTCCCATGCCGGGAGCTTTCTAGGTCGCCAACTACCTGGAGCAAGAGGGACTCGCAAAAGTTTCCTCGCTCTTTCGGCAGATGCAACATTCAAAAGATTGGTACCCTGCTCAACATGGTTGGTGGAAAAGCTTGCGTTACTGCCCAGATTTGGATACACCACGCTTAGCCCCTTCTCTGCCAGGAATCTCCAGTGGTATTTCTTCCAGCTTTTGTGCATAGACCAAGCTGAGGCCTCGTGGTAGGGCAACACTGGATCCTCCTCCGAATGATGGGCAAACCATGCTTGGAAGCGTCGCCACGCTCGTGGCAGAAACACCGCCCCCCAAGAACAAGGTACTTGCATTGCGTACGCTGGACTTGGCGGCGGTGTGAAGGATCTGTGGTGGACCTCTGAGTACCCTGGAGAATATAGAGCAATTGCAGCTAAAGTCACTTCTGCTAGTGGAACGGTGCGCGAGTAGTAGTACTTCATCACTGCTCGAACTGCCCAGTGCATAAAGGAAGGAGACACCTCGACATCAT